ACAGATTGTCTACACTAAAATCTTGTAATTGCGTTTAAAACCCAAGACCTGATTTGCACTGTGGCGTTATATTAACAAACACTGTGAATTAGATGGAATAAATATGTGTAATAGATACATAAATCTGCATTTGAGCCTTGTGTATAGTTATTGTTGACGCAGCAGATCATGCCCCATGTTGGAACTGGGAGGGGTAAGGGTGCAGGAAGCAGGAAGTGGGGCAGGCGCGCGAGAGAGGAATGTGCTAGTGAGCGGAAGGAGGTATTAATAGACTAGAGCAGTGGTTCTCAAACTGGGGTACGTGTGATGACGGTGGGGGGTACGCGAACAAAAATTTGAGTTTTGGCATTCATTTAATACCCCAACTTTTAAAGCAACATTAAACCCGAATGTATTTCTGACAAGCAAAATGCCGCTTCTAATGTAAAATCAGGAAAATGGGGGTGCCGTAAACGGTCAAATACATGATATCCAATCAGCTTACCTCATTTTTTGCGGTCAAAACTGACTGCATCCACACAAGCAGCGTGCACGTGATAGGATGGCCGCTGAATATGCTGCTTTAGCAAATCACGCTGCTGTTCAATGTAAAGTAGTTCTTCACTAGCATGAAGAGCAAATATTGACACGCACCGTACATTGAGATCGATTTAAACTCTCTTCGATACAGACACACTCTGTGCGTGTTATTGTTTTCATGTTTAAGATGCGAGCAAGAATGCAAATTTCCCTGAATATCCAAACGATGGCAAATGTGCCATTAATTTTTACAACAGTTCAACAAAAAAGGTAATATTAAGCGAACATTTTACATTTTAAATGTAGCCTACATTTTGAACAGAATATTGTCATGTTTGTTCTATTTTGCAACGAAAAATAATAGTTCCAACGAAATCTGTATCATCTGGTGTGCGTCTCCAAGCATCATACACCCCAGGGGGTACGCCGCTGTAAAAAGTTTGAGAACCACTGGACTAGAGGAAGGACAGCACCCTCCACACATCCGCACATCTGGCCGACATACAGCAGACAGCCAAGGGGGACGGGAGCTGCTGAATGCCTGTGTGGCCCATCGATTGTCATGCTAATGGAATGAGCCTCCCCCTCCCTTTCCTTGTGGAGTCTGAAACCTGAGCCTCCAGTGTCTGAACTCTCACAGGAATGCACTTTTAGCTCCTGCAATCTCCTGACTAAACGACTTTACAGCACTCGGATCAGCAGAACTACATATAGGCTAAAGTCACGCAGGAGCAGAAAAAGGACAGAGCAAGGGTAAAAACAGAAAGGACAAGCTAATCATTTATCAAGCTACCTGATGATACAGTAGATTTAAGATTCTGAGCTATTTAACTTGTGACAATGACCATATTGATGGGTTAGTTCACCCAAAAAAAAATGAACATTCTGTCGTCATTTACTTTCCATGTTGTTCCAAACCTGCATGACTTTCTTTATGAAAGCCTGTTTCTGCCACAGAAAAAAAAAGGTAATTGCAGCTTTTTATCTCACAATTCAGCCTCTGTTTCTCGCAATTCAAAGTTTATATCTCACAATTATGACTTTTTTAAAGAAAAGAAAAAAAATCACAATAAAACTGTGTGTGCTGGCAACAAAAATTGAATTGTAAACTCAGAATTCTGATTAAGAAAAGTCAGAATTGCGAGATCAGAATCAGAAAATCAGAATTTATACTAGTTTATATTCCGTAAATCCTGCTCAAAGCGGTTTCTCCCGAGTCCCGACCATACTCGGTACTTGACCTCTGAAGCTCTGGAGGTGTCCTATGACTACTCCTGTGGTCTGAGCCCTCTGTGTCAGATAAGGCTGAAACAGAGAACGAGACTAAATGCTCTGTGTACACCCAATCATGCCCCACATTCTTTGGAAATTATGAAAGAATCATAAACTCAAAACCATAGTGAAAGCAGGGCTTTCAAAACGAAAAACCACAGAGTTTTGCGCACACCCCAGGTCTGAATCAAAAACAGCAAGGATTTTGTTCTTGACTCTTTTATTTCTTTCTTTTTTTTGTGACAGTAGTCATATTGACGTGCCCTGAACATAGTGTTGAAGTGTCTCTCCTTCTAGTTGGCAGAAAAACAGCTAAAAACAGAAAGAAATAAACAACTTTCAAATTGCATCAAAGTGATTTTCCTCCCCAGAATATGCTGTTATTTTTTTGTTCGTTTTAAAAAATAGAGCATAAAGGAATATATTACTTTAAAAAAGATTTATCTGTACTTGTGTGTTTTTCTACAAAACATTTCATATTTGTTTGTATTCCTGCAGTTGACTTTTTATCAAACGCTGTGGCATGCACATTGCACATGCAGTTCTCGAGATAAATGCTTCTCTACATTTTTTTTTTCTGACAAAAACTTGCTTATTTTTAGTTTCTTCTTTTTACAGTGTGACTCCCACATCGGCATTGTATTTTTAATTGTCACTTGTTTTGCCAAACATGAACTGAGGTTGTTAGTAATGATTAATTATGACAGACAATGAGAAATGTCAATGTCCTTGTCTTTTCTCTCACAGCCACACACACATGGAGAAGTTGAGATTACATCATGCATGCAAATGAGGATGACTGAAAATCATTCGCTTGGTGAATATTGTCAAACACATCATCATGGACCTGATCACAAACATATACACACACCGTTCACAGAGACACACCATTTCCTTGACTCTTCTTGCAACTCAAAACAGGTTGGTATTGCATATATAGATACTCTCCTTATAAAAAACTGAAGTCTCATGAAGCTAAATGCCTGACACGGATAAAAGAAACCAAGAGACAGCTTCACTGCAAACCGACACATTGCAGCTGTATAAATGTGTAAAGATCGGATGTGCGGTCTAAATAACGGTGAATAAGGCACTGATTAATCTCAGTAATAGATTCCTAAGAATGCAGTTCTCAAAGAAACAATGACAACAAAAACTAATAACGCTCAACTAGCAAGGGGAGACATGAAACTTGGATCCTGTATCTAGTGTTTACATCCATATACTCACCAGTTGTGGACACACTTAAACATACAGTCTCAAAGGAGAGCCACAAACTTACCAGTTTCATCAGTAATGCTACATACAAGACTCACTCGACTCGAGTGGGATTGTGCGTGATAATATGTTAGTAAATGCTACATACATCGTCTAATTTGCACATGCTGCAAAGTTGGACTCGTTCGTCAGCGTGTCTGTGTATGCGGAGTCATTCCACAGAGGATCTGCCTCGTAAAGAAGACTGAGATGACGATGGTAATATGGGCCGAAAAGACACAAAGATCAGTGGGACACAAGAGACAAGTTTTGGCAGAAAAGGCCCGGTCATTGTTTCACCCATGCAATTTGATTGGCTGTGTTACATGTTCCTGTGCAGTTTGATTGGCTGTGTTACATTTCCTGAACACAGAACGGTGCACCATCGGTGACAAACACACATAGTACTACTCTCAGTGTACAGGTCATTGACATAAACATGGAACAGAAAAAGGTGAGACTGACAGAGCCAGAGCCACTGGCTGCAGAACAATGTGGATCACAGCGCCATCTGCTGATCTAGTAGAGGTAGTGGAGCTCAGTTACCTTCTCACCATTTACTGGCACATTAAAATGTCTTGGGGACTTCTTTGTTTAAAGCAGTGGTTCTCAATCTTTAGTATAGATCTGAGCCTTAAATCTATTTTAATATAGAATTTATTGAATAAATAATTCATTTAATACTTTAAGTACTCTCCAATTTTTTTTTAGTTGAGAACCACTGGTTTAAAAGTAAGAAAAAACATTCTAAATAGTAATAATTATAGATAGATAATTATAAAAAAATTATTTAAATAAATAAAATAAAATCCTTTAAAATTAAGATTATTACTAAAAGAGTGAAAATAGATAATAATAATAATAATAATAATAATAAAAATGTAAGAATTTTATGCCAACCTAACCAATCCTTGTTTACTTAGCTTATATCTAAATGCTATTTAAAGATGTATATAACACGTTTGTATCAATATGGTTGATAACTAGTCGGCTCTTCATCTAATTTCTTTTATCCTTTTCATTTTTTTTCCTTCTTGATAAAAAGTGTTCAGTTACAGAGACTCGAGATCAGATGCATGCTTCGAGCTGTCATTAACGCTCAATGATATGGCTGAGAAAGTGTTTCCATGGAAACATCCGAAGTCGTTGAGCTACCGAGGACGTCGGCTGAAGGTCAGATGGGTTTCTGTCATGGCCCATAACGGATCACTATCACAGAGCTCCACACACCATCTACACAAAACTCGCACGAAAACAAGTCTGGCAATACAAAGAGCAGCTGAGGCAAATACAAAAACAGGTAGAAAAACCAAATGATAAGCATCATCATCATTATCATCTTCATCACCATCAATTATCGTCATTTATGCAATCATCTTTATACACACATTGTCATTATCGACTTGAAATCATATGTAAAGTTGGAGAGGTTCTCTCTCTCTCTTTTCTCCCCCCTCAACTCTCTGTCTCTGCGTTTACCCTGGAAGACTGGAAGAGCACGTTTACGGCGGTGTAAGGGAAAAGAATCACATGTGTCATTTATATGTTTGTGTATTTTATGTGCTACTATATCTACATTTTTGTGCAAGTGAGCAAATCATCTATACACTGATAGAGGAATGTAAATAAAAAGGTTATAAAATGTCAAGCTTAAAAATAATTGTGCTATCCATTCATTTTTGATTCCGAATTTGGCACCAAATCTGGTAGAAAACACTGCGAACATCTCTGGTCACCCATTTACTGGTTTGAACATTAGCAATGGCTTCTTCTCCCCTTTCCTCCTTCAGGTGAGAGGGATCTCAGAGAGGCCTGAGAGAGAGAGAAGGTGCTGATGGGAGAGAGAGAGAACGTCACGGACATGACAAAAGAGCCAAGGAATCGATCCCCCCGCCCCCTTTTTTATCCAAAGTTTCTTTATGTATTTTTTAAACTTTTTTTTTTTCTCTCTTTTTTTTTCAATCATGCAGGATTTCCAAGGGATTTATTTTCTGTTCAAACAAAGCTGGGCAGTGCAACAGAAGATTCAAACTCCAATGTTTCCAATGAGAAGCAGAAGACGAAGCCGTAGAAGAAGAAAGAGTGAGGAGCTTTTCATTTTTTTCTCTCTTATTATTATTATTTTGTTTGTGATTCTTCTTTCTTGCGTTTGGGGGTCTGAAGTGCAGGGTAGGCTTTCCTGTTTTAGTTCAGGTGAGTTCATCTCCGCCCATCTCCAACTCCACCCACAACTTACCCGCATGGGCCAACGCCTCCCCCTCACTGGGATAATTATTAACAGTAAACACAGATGATAAAACTCATCGATATTTCCCAGCATCTGGACTGATTTTTGCAATAAACGAATCTCAAGTCAAGTTCTGTGAAATAAAAAGTGATCCACCTTCTTTTTCTTTTTTTTTTAAACGAGTGCTAAAGAGTTCCTAGCGTCTCATTTCCGGAGGGACTGCGTGAAATGTCCTGGGGAAAAAAAGTTCAGACATTCCTCCTCCTTATCAAAACATTTTTATATTCTTCAGAAAAAGGCGAAGAACAGGATTTCGTATTCATAAGTCTTCATATTCACTGTCAGCGGTCCATCGCTTTCAGGGAAACACTCGGCAGCAGAGGAATCGGAAAAGAAACGAGAAATAGAAAGAAACGAATCATGCCTTGATTTCCCCTGTGGACATTCAGCGCACTGCCTAGTGTTTCCCCGGACAGAGTGGCCAATCCAATGAGAGTATCGCTTCACTGTGAGAGCGCGGCAGGACTCACCCCTCCCCGTCCCAGAGGCTAGCACCAGTCATCCTCATCAGTCTCACTGTAGGGTTCGTGGAGGCCCTTCCTGGGCCCTCTGGGATGAGGAGGCTTATGAGTTCCCGGGTGGGCAGGGGTGTGGTGGTGGGGAGTGGGCGAGGACGAACGGTAGCCGTTTGGCACGCGCCGTGGATGTGGCTGGCCCTGAGGGGGGGTGCTGTGGCGGGAAGTCCTGGGAGAATGTGGGTGAGGGTTGCCCTGCACAGGGCTTTGCTCGTAGGACGGAGGCTCGTGGTGATTGAACTCGTAGTCTTGGTCGTCGTAGAAACCGTCGCCCTCCATGCTCTCCGTGGGGCCAGGGCCCCAGTGCGCGTGACGGGCTGAGCGAGGAGAGCCGTGGTGGGGAGGGGGAAGCGGGGGCTCAGGGCCAGGCGGACTGAACCGACGGGAGGTCGGAGCGGGGAGTCGGTTCTGCTGGCCCGGAGGGGCGGTGCCACCAATGGGCTTACGGACCACGGGAGAGTAGGTGACGTGGGGTCGGGGCGTGGCGGGGGTTTGGGGAAGCTGACGCCGGCCGCGGCGGGGCGTGCTGGTCCCAGAGGTGGAGGGGACTGGACTGCCGCTTACTGAACTACTGCCCTACATGAAAATGGAACAAGGCAAATAAAACAGAACCACAAAATTAACCACACAACAAGAAGAAAGACAGTAGGAGATGGCACATACACCGCAGTCAGAGAGGAAAGAGCGCAGTCACGAGAGAGAGAGATACAAGAATGAGAGACATTGCAAAGCAGCAAGATGCAAACAGCCATAAAATAAACGACCAAACGTAAAGCAACATATCACAGGGAAAAGAGAGGACACAAGAAAGAAAAGAACAACAAAAAGAATTGAATTCTGTTGCAAGTGTGAAAGTAACTTGTTTAATTTTGGTCTCGACAAAACTAGGCTGGGTGTTGTCAATACAAATGAAACTGAAAAAGAATTCATTCAGACTGGTCACATTATTGTTGGTCCTGACTATCACAATATTGTTGGAAATAACATTGTCACAATATAAATAAATAGCATAAAATGACTGGGACAGATATAAAATGTTGATTCTTGAAGTTAATCATCATGTTTTAATACAAGAAACAGATGGGTTCTCTGCACAAATCATTTCACTAAATCAGTATTTTAGTCGTGTTTTTCAGTAAAAATACCAAAACATCCTTAAAACAAGATTTACTCGAGAAGCAACAACAACAACAACAAAAAAATCATACTGACCCCAAACGTTTGAACGGTAGAGTATATGTAAAATATAGAATTAAAATATAGTTTAATTCTTAATTAATTCAAGTTCATAAAGTTTTAAATAAAGTTTAATTGTTTTTTTCTTGTCTTTTCTAACAATGTTTATTCTTAAAACAAAATAAAAAACTATTTGCTAATGAGTTAGGAACATTAAACCCAATTAAATTAAGATTGTATGATTAATGTTTTAAATAACTTGGCTTCTCAAGTAAATTTTACTTTTTAAATGGATGTTTGGATAATTTTACCCCTAGTAAAAAAAAAAAAAAAAGCCAATTTATTTCAAATACATTTCATACTGCAAATCTATTAACATATTTATTAACATAGTATCACTTAATGCTTACTGATATTAAATTATAGGCCTAATTTAAGTTTACTTGCAATAGTTCCACTTTAGCACAATCAGATATACTTCAATATATCTTTAGTTGGACCTCAGCACTACTTCTTCACAATTAAAGTGCATAATAAGCACAAAATTAGTTGTTCCAATTTAGCAGACTTTAAGTATACCAGATTAGTTTACCAAAAGTACAATTGCAGGGTATTTTATTAAGCACATACATGTGTACATTTATTTGTAGTATACTTAGCACAAAATAAATGTACTTCAAATACATTTTAGTATACAGTAGTCAACATTTGAAGTGGATCAAAACCTTTCATCAAAGTTGTCCTAAAACCTAAAACCAAAATATGGATGAGAGCAGGGAGAGCAGCAATAACCCCCCGGGGTAAACAGAACAGAACCAAAATAAATGTATTGTAGATATCGTTAAAGTTCAATAATTTTATGTACACATTTTAGAATTTGTCTGATTCAAAGGAGAATCAGAAGGCTGAATCCCGACTGACAGAGGAGGAGTTGGGGATGGAGGAGGGTAATTAGCTATTGAGCAATGCAAAAACTGCTGATAATACTGAGGGACCTTATATATGAATGCTTAGATAGGTGTCGTAGTCCCATAGGTAGATGGGGATCAGCTGAGAGTCAACTGATGCGAGCTTGACTAACATGACCTGCCAGAACTAACACTAAGCTTGATATATTTTTTCTTTTCACTAGGGACCGAACAACAGTGAAAGCAAATGACTGATTACAGGAATAACAGGAAATTATTTTTTTCAGTGCTGCAGAAATGTTCAACTGTAATGTGTCTCTATGTGCATTATGAGCACATGTTCACATGTTATGAATGAATCGCCCACCTGTCTGTGAGTCAGGCACTCTCTGCCCTCACTTGGTGAGCGGGACCAGCGGAGGTCTCTCTCTCTAGACCCTCTGTGGCTGTAGTCCCCTCGTTCTCTCTCGTGTCCGTAGTGCTCCTTATCTAGAGAACCGTGATGGTGATGGTGATGATGGTGGTGCTTGCGGTCTTTGGCCCGGCCCCGGTCCCTCTCCTTGGATGGCAGGTCTCCTGACTGTGTGGTGGTGCTGAGGTCAGTGCCAAGACCTGCTAGGCCACAGCCAGAGAGAGGAAAAAGTGCATTACTATTAGCTCTCCTTCTAATAGTAAGAGAAAATGCCATCAGTACCATTATTTTATATGCGTTTGTCTCTGACCTGTGTCAGCATCAGTGTAGCGGCTCAGGGAGCGTTCTGACGCACGGTGACTGCGGTCTCGGTGGCGATGCCCATGTCTGTGACCCTCTTCTGGGATAACCCTGTCCATGGTATAGTCCTCACCCCGCACTGAACGGCCTTGACGCCCGTGGCCCAAAGATGAAGCTGAACGCTTCATCGGACTGTTATCGGTGATGGTCTGCTGAGAGAGCCGGCACAGGAGAGACAGAGAGAAAGAGGTAGGGAGAGAAAAGAAAAGAGAGCGAAGGAAGACAGAGGATTCTGTTTATTGGAAATTAATGGGTCTGGAAGATTTGAGAAGGGAACTTCATTTCCGTAGTATTTCGTAACAGCAGGCTGATGGTCGTATGAATGTACAGCCCTGTTTACATCTGGTATTAACATCCGTCTTGGGTGAGTGGGAAGGTCTCTGATTTTGTGACTATATACACATCACTTGCATTACTGTTCAAATGTTTGGGGTCAGTAAGATGTTTCGAAAAAAGAAAAAAAGGAAGAAATATTTCTTGAGCAGTAAATCAGCATATTGGCATGATTTATGATCATGTGACACTGAATACTGGAGTAATGATGCCGAAAATTCAGCTTTGCATCACAGGAATAAATTACAGTTTTAAAGTGTATTAAAAAAGAAAGCAATTATTTTACATTGTAATAATATTTCACAATACTACTATTTTAACTACAATTTGATCAAATAAATGGAGCCTTGGTGAGCAGAAGAGACTCCTTTCAAAAAAATCTTAAACTTATATAATCCAAAATTTATATTTACGTCTCTCTAAAACAAATCTTATAAGCAGAGATGCACCGATGTATTGGCCAACAATCGGTATCGGCCGATAGAAGCAATTTTTCGCGCTATCGGCCATCGGCCGATTGTTTAAAAACATCCGATGATCAGGGCCGATATATCCTGTCAATCAAAATTGGCGGGAATGCATCGAATACGTGCTGTGTGTAAAGATGTCTCTTGTGTGGAATTACTTTGAAGTGGCTGACAATGACGACAAAACTGCAGTTTGTAAGCTATACACAGCTAAAATTTCGCGAGGTGGAACTTCAGTTAAAAATTTTAACACAGCTAATTTGATTACACACCTTAAATGCCGACATGCCAAGGAACATGACGAGTTCGTCAAAGCTAAAGCGGAGGCTGCTTTAGCTACAAAAGCTAAATGCCAAACAAAGGCTAGCGTGACTCCCTCTATCGCGCAAGTGTTTGACAGCACCAGAAAATTCAAATCTGACAGCACGAAAGCGCGTGAAATTACTCGGAAAGTAATGGAATTTATGGCGCTTGATGATCAGCCATTCTCCGTAGTTGAAGACACCGGATTTCAGCGACTGGTAAGACACCTTGAGCCTCGCTACACTTTACCGAGTCGATGTTATTTCGCAGACGTCTGCTTACCGGAGATATACAACCGTGTGGCAGATCACGTTCACAAGCTTCTTCATAACGACTCCGCAATGAGCTTCACCACAGATATTTGGTCTTCAGACGTAAGCCCTACGAGCATGCTTAGTCTCACTGCTCAGTGGATCGATTGTGATTTTAAACTTAAAGTCTTGCTTCATTCACAAGAATTTACCGGTTCTCACACTTCGTTGGCAATCTCTCAAGCATTCACTGACATGTTAGACAAATGGAAAATCGACAGATCAAGAGTGCACGCTGTTGTACGCGACAACGCGAGGAACATGGCTAAAGCCATGACGGACAGTGAGATTATGAGTTTGCCCTGTATGGCTCATTCCCTCCAGCTGGCTGTCAACGAAGGAATATTAAGCCAGAGAAGTGTGACAGAATTGGCCAGTATGTGCCGAAAGATTGTGGGCCACTTTAAGCACTCGCAGCTTGCTTCTTCACGTCTACAGTCCATTCAGTCACAGATGGATCTTCCACCAAAGAGACTTAAGCAGGATGTAAATACGAGGTGGAATAGCACCTTCTATATGATGCAAAGCCTTTTGGAACAGAAAAGAGCGCTTGCTGCATACGCTGCAGATTACGAACTACCAGTCACACTTACTGCGCAGCAGTGGACACTAATGGAAAGCATAACTACACTTCTCTCTCTCCCTTTGAACAAATAACCAGAGAGATTAGTAAAGAAGATGCGTCCGCTGCTGACATTATACCCCTGCTTGAGACTCTAAAAAGGTTACTCAGCAAAGAAGCCGACAGTGACCACGGAGTTAAAACAATGAAAAAAGCATTACTGGAGGCAGTGCAAAAACAGTTCAGGAACACCACTTCCAACCATATGTGCTGTATCGCAACGGTCCTTGACCCGCGATATAAAGACAAGTTTTTTGATGCTGACACGAAACAGCAAATGCACGAAATGATAGTTGCAGAGATTAAGAAACTCGGACATCCTGGAGAAGATGTGCAGAATCTAGAAGGTAAGTTTCCATCTAAAGAAATATAATATTCAATATAATAGGCAATTCAATAATTCAGAAGTCTGCTTTTAAAACACGGTGGGCTTATGTATTTATTTATTATTTTTTTTTTATATCGTACAGCAAAAGAAGGCTCGCATAGAAACAAGAGAATCAATAACAGCATCTTTCTCTGCCATATTCAACGAAATTGTTCAAGAAAACGGGACTGTGGCGGAGAATGCGAGTGTGTCAACGCAAGTTGCCAGTTACCTAGCAGAGCCGGTGATTCCCAGGCACGAGAGCGCGCTAACGTACTGGGCCGCTAATCAAGGCCGTCTGCCTGAGCTTGCGCAAGTGGCGAGAAAATAGCTGTCCGCGCCTTGTACGAGCGTCGATAGTGAAAGAACCTTTAGCTCAGCATCTAATGTCCTAAACGAGAAAAGAAATCGTCTAAGCTGCGATAAAGCAGAAATGCTTTTATTTGTGAAGAACTTACCCCTTACCTTTAAATAAGGGAATTGAATGAGAGGTTGTTGTGAGCAGATGTTCAGAATTGTTAATGTTAATGTCACTTAAGAACATTCAAAAAAGTTAAAATTACCAGTTTGGTGTTCCATGATGCACAAACATTAACCACTTATTTGAGGGAAATGCTGATTGATTGTGAGAACATAATGCTTTTTGTATCCAGTTAATGTTCGTGAATATCATCAAAAAAGTTTAGATTAAAATTACCAGTTTAATGTTTAGTGCTAAAACAGAAATGCTTGTTTGTAAAGAAAGTTTTACCTTAGACATGTATTTGAGGGAAATGCTTTGTGAGAAGAACAGGATGCTTCTCATATCCAATTAATATTAATATGAGTTAATATAATCAAAACTGTTAATATTTAATATTACCAGCTTGATGTTCAATGATAAAGCAGAGATGCTTTTGATTGTGATGATTGAATTTGAGCATAACAGAAGGTTTTTTTTTTCTTAGAATAAAAAAGAAAAATGTTTTAGTCAATGTTAATATGAATTAACAGAAAAAGTTAAAAAGTCTTAATTTAATCTTACACATTTTGTTAATGCGTTAATGTTAATTTGAGCAATGTGTTTTCTGTTTATGAGACCAGTCACTGTGAAACAACTGTTTAAATGGAGATAATAAAGTTTTATATGCATTGCGTTCAGAATTATGGAATTATTATGGATTATTATTAATTTAAAAGAAGATATAAAATGCAGAACCACCAAACTATTGGTATCGGTATCGGTATCGGCTGATAGCACGCTAAACAATCGACTATCGGTATCGGCTGAGAAATGTACTATCGGTGCATCTCTACTTATAAGCATGTTTAGATATTCAACTGGAAAACAAGACAAGCACCATGCTTACATCTGTATATAGTGCTGACAATTTGTGCCCAATCATATGTTAATACCAGGTGTAAATGGCGTCTATGATGACTTAAAACTTGTGTGTTTAATTCTGTAGGTCTGGGAGTTGGTGTGGTTTGCTTGTGTATGACCTGATGGACACACTCAGACGATACCAGCAAACAACTAAAGAAATTCACCATGCAGAATCCGAGTAGAAGAGAAAGACAGAAAAAATACGTAAAAAAAAAAAAAAGAGAGAGAGAGAAACTTAAAAATAGTTGCAAAAGTTCGTGCCTTGCATGCATCAAGGACTGAATCTATAAAAAGTAAAAAAATACTCATACACATTTGAGAGAAGCACATTTCTTCAGCAGACCTCTCTCTTCATCACTCACAGTCATGCACACCACAGAGAGAGCAGAGAGAGAGGCCTGTCCAGACTTTCAGAGAGGATGTGTGGGTCAGCACCAGATAAATGGTCCAGGAAGAGGGACGTGCAGAGTGGGGTGGTTTGCAGTGGCTCAAGCCCTGGACCCTTTCCACTCGTCGGACCTTGTGTGATCTTAATGATCTCATTAGAGCCTGTCCTTCTCATAAAAGTGTGAATTTGACTGTTTTCACTATCAACACTGACACCTAGAGGCATGGATGCAGCATTGCATACAATCAAGGGTTTTCAGTTGACTCGTCTGTAAAAAAGACATGGAAGTAAGCTATTTTCTCACCCACTTCCATTACAGTAGCATTATGTATGTAAGGTTTTTTATTATTATTTACAATGATTAGATTTATTTAAATTTATTTTTTTTTGCTGTGGACTAGTAGTTGTTTCTTCATCATATGTTGCATTCAACAACTATATACCAGTATAGATGTAGGTGTAACTCAATAACACATTCAAAGTTTCCTTAAAATAAAAAATAATAAAACAACAAATAAAAAAATGCCTTAGAAACACATGCCCTTTTCCCCCTTCAACCCACTGAACACCAAAAGATCTCTGCACGTCTCTGCTCAAAAGCACAGTCACACATAAACACACACACACAGCAGCACAGAAAATGGCACACTCACACTTAAAGACCATGAACACATATGCACACAAAAACATAACATGCACATGAACACACAGCACACAATGAGTGTTGCAAAGCACACAGATAGCAGATATACATTAGGAGGAGGCAGACAAGGAGTTTTGTGTGATTTGATCTGCACACAAATCTGTCTGAAAATATGTCTGTACCGTACAGATAATAATAATGCCCCAGTATGCAAATGTTGACTTGAGTAACAAGAAAATTGTGTTAGACTTGATCATTTTGATTCATTAATGCGAATCAGTTATAACTGTCTATTACAATGAATAGATTCAAGACTCTTCACAACTGAGTCAATGATTTGTCTGTCAATACTAAAAATGTTCACAGAAGTCCCTCAGTATATTAAAACGTTTTAGTAAAAATATATCTATATAAATATTAAATTTTCTTTTAAATATAGCAATAAACAGAAATATTAAATGAGCCTTCCTTAATTGCTTTCATTCTGTTAAAAAGGATTTTACTGAAATCTTTACTGTATTATGGTTGAAATGTTTCCTCTGAATGAAGAAAAAAAAAAGAATAATGTCAAAATGCCAATAAAACCCATATTGCAATAATGAAATTTTTTTTCCAGTATTTTTTTTCCCTGAGATATTCAGGCACGAGTTATGTGATTTCCAGGGAGACAGAAAGTCAAACTGAGAGTGATAATGGAAAGAAAGTAATAATGAACGAGAGAGGTTGCACATACAGTGAGATTATCTCCCCGGTGCCGTCCTTTCCTCCGTGGCTGCTGAACAGCCATTTCCATACAAACACAAGACACCACAAATATGTCCATACAAATACACACATAGAAAGTACATAGGGCCGCAATTCCACAAGACAAAAGCACATTAACAGTGGGTGACCCCAGGCATGAGAGAGAGAGAGATTGCACCCAAAAAAATAAAAAGTTGGAGATGGGGTTTCGTGCATGAGTAAACGAGGATGGGGTGGACAAAAAAACAAGAGTGAAAGAGGGGAGGAAATAGAGAGAGATATAAATAAAGAGAGAAAAGAGAGACACAGAGAACCTGGTTAGACACAGAAGCAGTGGAGACAAAAAAAAGACACTTACCACAGCAGCACACACACTGAGGACCAGAGGCAGTGTTAGAGACACGTCACAGTGCACCACACAGAATGATACGGTGAGAAACAGTACAGTGATCACGAGACACAGTGCCCATAGAGAGGTATACTACTACAACACTGCGCACACATACAGTACGTATAAGCATGAGACCACACCAACAAAACTCTCTTGTACTTGGTTTCAGAAATGTATGTAAATCACTCTCACACTAGTACATGTTGAGTGTTGTGTAAGTACAACACATTCACTAGCGTTCAAAAGTTTGGGGTTGGTAAGATTTTTTAAATGTTTTTGAAAGAAATCTCAAATGCTCATTTATTTGACCAAAACAGTGAAATTAGTACTATTGTGAAATATTATTACAATTTTACTGTTTTATGTTTAAAATGTAATTTATTTCTGTGATGGCAAAGCTGAATTTTCTGCAGCCATCACTCCAGTCTCCAGTGTCACATGATCCTTCAGAAATCATTCTAATATGCTGATTTCCTGCTCAGTAATCATCAGTTATTGTTGGTGCACAATTATTTATAATGGTCATCAGTTCTTATTATTATCCATGTTCAAAACAGTTTTTGCTGCTAAAAATTTACGAAAAAAATTTTTTTTTCAGGATTTTTTGATGAATCAAAAGTTTAAATGAACAGCATTTATTTGACATAGAAATGTTTTGTGACAGAAATGTCCTTGCTGTCAATTTTGGTCAATTTACCGCATTCTTGTTAAATAAAACAATAAAAAAAAAAATGTACATAAAAAAAATGTACTGCCCTCAAACCTTTAAACGGTACTGTAATTACATAAACTAACACGCACACAAACACATGCTCACACAAATCTCAGTACCAACTCCCAAGTCACTGCTTGATTCACCTCAAATTTCACTGAGCTTTATGACCCTAAATGAAACACAATTCAAACTTGGCCAAAATATAATAAAAACAAAAATAGAGGGGAAGCATATAAAGTAATACTGGGCTGTAAATACAGAACTTAATTTTTTTTATAGTAAAGACAATATAAAAACACTGAGTAACGTCTTTAATAAGGGAGGAAGTCAGAGTTAGCCAAACTCAAAATAAAAATAAGAATTTAAAGAAAAATAAAGGTAAAGAGAAGGACAGAAGGAAAGACATATTCACAGAAATTCAAGGAGACAGCATGAGAAGAGAGTTTATTCAGAAAAAAAGGAAGCAAACCCAACCCTGTTTTTCTAATCTCTCAGCTCTTCAGCTCCCACAGCATCATGGGATAGCCAAGTGTGCACTTGTTATAGATTTTAGAATCACAGTGGATGCAGGGTCATGTCATGTGGGTATTGTGTTTAATGAATACAAAGCCTCCAGATGTAATTCGTGTGACATCCTACTTTTTGTATAATGTGTAGCAGGGAAGTGTGTATATTAGGGTCTGTATGAATGAGGAGGAGGCTACTTGAGGGCCAGTGATGAGAAACATGAAAAAAAAAACATTTAAATTATACCCTGTAGACCATCTAGACCGGAATCAAATATGCATCATAATGAAGGTGCATGTTGTAATATGCTAGATATCATGTATCTAGACAATTATAATAAGATAGTGTTTGAATGCAAAAAAATGTATTCTTGAATACATCACATATATTCAAACACATATTCTGATAATTACAAATGATAAATGCATATTTATGGCAGGTATGCTGATAAAACTATTAAATACTGACCGATCAAGCTTTGTATCTTGTGGAGTGCCTCAAGGATCTGTTCTGGGCCCAACATGTTTTTCTCTCTCTCTCTCTCTCTTTCTCTTTTTCTTTCTTTCTTTCTTTCTTTCTTTCTTTCTCTCTCTCTCTCTTTTGTGTGCAACATTAAAAGGCATATTCCCTAGAAACTAAATTTTTCTTCCTAATTTTCTCTGTTGGAAAGATTAATATACTACTTGATCCAAAGTATGTAGACACCTGAAGTCCTGAACATATGTCCCTAATGAAAATGTAATTCATGTTGCTATACCATCTTACACATTCCAACTCAACAGACTGCATCGTAGTATACTTGACTTAATGCACCATTTAGCCATAGAGTATTGTTATGACTTAGCAACTTAACATAATTGACTTGTTTGTGTAATTCACCCTCACACTTGCTCATACAGGACATCAATCCATTGCAGATGCTATAATTGGTTTTCTTTGCTTTATCTGGTCAATGGGCACATTTGTTTAATGCAAAGGCAGCAATGAAAAGTGGGTTGGAGGGTCAAGAAAGGAAGGACAGATGTGAAAAGTGGGTTAGAAGAAAAGGAAGGGGGAAAACACGAAGGAATGACAGGATGAGGCGCTCACTTGGTTGTCTGCTGGGAGTCGAGGCATGGAAGCAGCCCTGCCATGGCCTTCCATCGGCAGATAGTGCTCAGTGTCCGAGTACCCGTCCCGCCCCATCTCTCTCATCTCTACTGTCTGCAGAAACAGAGGGAGACCATGCATGACTGCCCAGGGACAGCAGGCAAGAGTGAATGCCAGGGGCCTGAGAGACAGGCCTAAGCACAGTGGATGGAAGGAGGACATCTCCACCTTCATCTCTCCCTTCACCCTGTATGGAGATGCAAGAGTAGCAGGACAGTCCTGCCCCAGCCTCTGTTCTATACGTCACTGCTGTTGGGTTTGCAAAAAGTACATGCATATGCAATACATGCAGGGCTTCAACTGCAGGATCACTGAGAGAAGATTAGGAGATTATTGTATTAGAAACTACTCTCTCTCTCAGATCACAAACAAGATATTCTGTGAACCAGCTTCAAATACATAGACACACATCTCTTGACTCAATTATGTTTAATCACTTCTTTTAAAGGTTTAGACATCATTTGCTCACCCTCACATTCTTCTAAACAGTATGACTTTTGTTCTTCCGTAGAACACAAAAGGAGGACTTTGAAGAATTTGCTGGTTACTCCTTACTGTGCAATTACAATAAATGGGGACAGAAGCTTCCAAGCTCCAAAAAAAAAGATGACAAAGAAGAATTAGGGATGATCTGTGCACTATCATTCAAAATGATCTGATGCCATATAATAACAACTATAAAAAGAGACCAAAATATAAGTTGTTATTCATACATTTCTTTTACAAAGAGCTGTTGAATGCTGTGACTGGATCACTGAGTCAATGAGTGAACTGAACACTGATTCAAACAGACTGGTTTTGTAAACTCAATCAACTGATTCAGTCATTCATTCATAAGATCTGAATCAAATAAATAATTTAAACATGAATCAGACATTGCTTTTCTTATGAACATAGATGTTAAAGGGGTCATATGATGCTGCTAAAAAGAACATTATTTTGTGTATTTGGTGTAATGAAATGTGTTTATGCGGTTTAAAGTAAAAAAAAAACACATTATTTTCCACATACTGTACATTATTGTTTCTCCTCGATGCCCCGCCTTTTTGAAACGCGTCGATTTTAACAAAGCTCATCGGTCTGAAAAAGCGAGGTGTGCTCTGATTGGCCAGCTATCTAATGCGTTGTGATTGGCCGAATACCTCAAGCGTGAGACGGAAATGTTACGCCCCTCACATACTGTTGATGCCGTGTCCCGGCCGGAGCTACGAGACATAAACATTAAAACCCATTACAAACGAGGCATTTGTTGCATCCAGTGGGGACATAATTACTGATTATAATGACTTATACTGTCTTTTTACGCGTTGCGTTGCATTGCATCGCGCCGCGTAAACATAAAACTCTGTCTGCATTTGTGATCAGATAAATGACAAACAACAAGTGCCACTCTACTGCCCAAAACTCGCGTTTGAATCATCAGTGGCAAATCCTTTAAATGAAAACGTACTTACGTGAGTCAGAACTGCCGGCATTTTAGTTTAACGTTACTCTCCCAGGATCAGTAAACAGTCCTCCATAAAATGTTCTGCACACATCTGGACTTTGGTTCTGACTTTGTGAAAGCGAAACTACTTTGTTTGCTCTTCCAAAAGAGGACACGACTACAAATCAGTGGT